TTGATTCCTTCGTGAACTGTGTTAGCCACACTTGGCTCATTCAGTTACTGCTTTGTTGGAGCATGACAAAGTGACATCATGCTGGCCAGACACAGGGAGCATAGCATGAACAAGTAAGGTTTTTGGCTACAACTGCAATAGATATGTTATTTAATAATACATTTAATTTCTGTAGTCTAAACTAAGCATGCACAGTTGCGTGACCAAATTTCCCATTGCTCTCATTGTTAAACAAAGCTAAGATCCATACAGTGTTCTCAGTTTAACGTTTACCTTTATGTTAGATTGTGTTTCCCACGGGGTGGCTCAGAATCAGTGTTTACAGCAGTAACCACCCTCTGCCTCAATAACAAATTTGTCACCCACGGATGCAGTTGTGTTTCTGCTACCGAATAACATGGTAAAGGAGCCTGCCTCCTTCAGCACCGGCTTATTTGCAACAAACCACTTCTCTGACATGTCAGATTCAGTCAGCTGAAGGAAAATCGGTATGGATTTTTTTTTTTTTTTTTTTTTTTTGCTTCAGCTTGGACTCCGACTCCATGCTTTCATACCCACCTGCTTGGAAAGGGTTGAGACAGAATCATGACATTATAATCTATCCTTCTCCTTACCACCCTTCTTCCCACATTCTAGTCATCACCAATAAAGTCACTACAGTAGTTTGACAGTGTGGATAGAAAAAAATATAGGAATTCTTACTACCTAACAGTGACTCCCACCTTCTGTTACATACCCTTAGCAGATTGGGGAGCAGGCATCATTGCTTTGGTATTTGCATTACAGTGTTTTCTTTGGCAGACACTGTTATCCAGAGCAACTTGCATAGCATCCATTTATGTAGCAGGATAAATACCAATGCTGCCTGGGTTAAGTACCTTGATCAAGGGTACAACAGCATCATCCACATGGGAAACAAACCGGCAGCTGTTGGGTTATGATCCTTACGTCCTTATGGCACTCTGTTACACTTGTTAAAGATGAGATGGACAGATGAGAGGGAGGAAGAGATTGTTTTTGAAGCTCAGTGTTGGATGAAGGCACTGAAAAGCTGAATTGATCTGCATCAGCGTTGCTTTACATTTGAGAAGAATGGCTTGCAGTTGTAATTGTATGCATTTCTTTCTTTCAAAGATGGGGTTATTTATGTTTTATGAATATATGTTATGTTCTGAAGCCTTTTTTATCTTGCAGGAGTGAATGAATTGAAGCAGTTCAGAATTATAAAAACATATTATGTGTGTGTGCGTGTGCGTGTGCATGTGTGTGTGTGTGTGTGTGTGTAAACACTTCACTTCCCACAGCAGGCACCTTATTCAGGGCAACAGCGCGGCTTGCGTTTCACTTATCCGTTCGCACAGAGATTGAAGTGATTCTGGTTAAGTATATTGCTTAGGATTGCAAAGACAGTCCCCTGTCTAGTTGTCAAAACATTTCGGGTTTCAGACCAAGCCGTTTGACTGCTCTGCCACATCGCAACCCCAAAGGAAGCTGATGTTTAGCAGGGCATTATCCTGTTGCTACGCAAATGATACCGTGAAAGAATGTGGTTGGCTGAAAGTTTGTCCCTCTGTTGTCCCTCACTTCCTCCAGGTGTGAATGCTTACCTGGCCTGTGCAGCTTCCCTCAGTGTGCTGCAGGAAGCACTCCCCGTGTCATCTCCCATGGCGACGGCACCCCTGGGAGGTGCTGCGATGTGTTCGAATGTGTCAACGGTAAGCGTTTGTTTTCTCTCAAGCTCTCTCTACTCTTTAGCTAGAAAATACCATAGGCTTCTTTTGTATTCATATTGTACAACAAGAGGGTGTAACGAGAGGATTTAAAAACTAGGCGTTTTGTAATATGAAATCGATGGGGGGAGACTGTACCGTGGAGCAGAAGGAGAGAAAGCAGGGAGGAAAAAAAAAGATGAAACACGGGAAGTTTTAAGCATAGGAAATATCCCTGGTGATGAACTGCTGCTAAAGCCCACTGTTAGTGCTGAAGGATTCAGTCAGTGTTGCTGAAGATGCTGCAGGCGTGGAAATACATTCAGAGTACCAGGAGAGAATGAGATTGTGTGTTTAGCTGTGGTAGCAGGGAGCTGAATCAGAGAGATGGGACATGGAAGACATCACAAGTCTGGAACCATAATCCACACGTCCTTATGCGGTTGATGCACTTTATGCGAGGATAATGTGTGCTTATATTGAAAACAAAGAAAGGAGCAACATGAAAGTGCTGGTGCATTTTATTTCAGGTTGTTTCTGTATTTCTTTACTCTGAAAACATGCCAGGTCCCCCCCTTTGGTACCTTTTGTGGGTCCCTCAGGCTTTTTTGCAGATTATGGCATTTGAAACCTTTGTAAATCACAAGCTGTTTATGATAAAAGAATGGCTATATTTAGGGGAAACTTTAAGTGAGTAGGCATGCTGTTGTTTTTTATTCTGAATAATTTTAAAATGCCAAACACCAACAGTTCATTGTCATCCTATTAATGTTATTGTAGCTAGACAACTAAGCACCTTAGGTACCTACTAACTGTATTATTTTTGTTGAGATTATTTTTCTTTTGATTATTCATTTTAGGGGGCCAAACATTATAGAGCTCACCGTAGATGGTGCAACACTGATTTTGACATTTCATGCTGGCTGACCTAGTAGTCACTTACAGACTCTTGAAATATTTGTATTCTATTAATAAGAACAAATGAAACAGATAAATCTGCACTTGCAATAATGTAGTGGATATCTTTGTGTCAGAACTCTAGTAGAACAAGTGGTGCTAGCATAATGTGTTACAATATGGATTATCAGTATAAGCAATGACAGCTAAAGGATGAAGACAGTAGAACTGTGGAGGTGAAAGATGAAATATGAAAATAATAATTATTAGATTACTTGTCATGATTAAGCAACAGCTGTGGTCCTGGACATTATTTTGTGTGCAAAAAGCACTTCAGTGTGAAGTATGACATGTCAGTGTGAAATGTACATTTTATCCTATACTGCAGTACTGAGAGCTTAACACAGCACTCTGACTTACTTTACACTAAGTCCTTTGCCTCCCTTATCCTCCTTGTGAGCCTATGTGAGTGAATACCATTGGTTGTGGAACCATGAAGGTTAACCTCAGAAGGACACCTGCTTTACCTGATTCGCAGGTGATCCAAATGAAACTTCGAAAGAAACGCTCTGCTGGGGGTTTTGACTGAGCTGATTCAGTTCACTGAGCTGATTGCTGTTTCACTGTACTAAACAAGTTGCATTTGCCCTTGTAGAGAGACAGTGGGAATGCAAAACGTAACTGACCGGAAGGCATTATCCTGGGGCAGTCTGACAAGTCCCAAAGGCTAGATTTCGAAGTCTGTTTCTCATTGTGTGAGAGTGCATCCGAAGGGCGCAGAGACAGGAGGCAACATCCGAAGAGACAGAAAGTCAACACTTTTTTTTTTTTAGGGTAAAACCTAGATTAAGAAGCACTCTTCCCCATGACATGCACAGAGCTGTACCATATGGTGCGGTCACACCCTGCTGAATGGGAGAAAAACACATAGATGATAGGTTTTAAAAGAAAGGCTCAGACGAGGATGAAGATGATGGCGGTGATGATGATGGTGATTATTTTTATTATGTCTGTGTGAGATATTTAATTAAAGGCAATGGCAAAGGTAATGAATGCCAGCATAACACTACGCTGATGAGTCAGCGAGAACGTAACGCACAGTGGATCACTGACTGAAATGATTTTTGACGGGGAGAAAGCTTTTGGGAGAGAGAGAAAGAGAACATAACTCTAGGGGAAGAGAGAGAGGAAGGGAGTGACTCAGAAAAAGGGAAGGAAAAAAGTGAGCTGGGAGAATGAGCATGATTCAGACTACACAATAGCCGGGGCATGATTCAAGGGAAGAGCCTAGACGAGTACACTGAAGATTAAGAAATGAGATTTCTCCGTGAAGAACATCTCCAAGGGAAAATCTCCACTTATTTCTACAGGGCCTGACAATAAAGAAACTTTTGCAACAACCCACTGGGCTTGTAGATTTCAGAATTTCTGGGCAACCAGAACAAGTGGTGCTCTTGGATGTTTTTTCAGTGGTAACTAAGCAGCCTTAGGTAGTAGCACTGTGTCATTCACTCACTGCCTTAACAACAGTGCCTGTGGCTCAGCATTAGGGGATTAAAAAAAAAAAACTACTGGTTTTGCACATAAATGTACAGTAAAAATCAGCAAGTGCTGTTCCAATATCAGGTGGTGACGCCTTGGTTGTCTAAGCTATTATATATCCATTAAAATCACTTGGCACAACAGGGGGAGCTCAGCAGAAATATATGTACAAGATTAAAATGTTAAACATGATCATTAAAAGCAGTCTGCATTTTTTACCATCATTATAATGCTACATCAGTCATCCAGTGTACCATGGTAATCTACCAGTCCTTAAGCAGTTAGTGCAGGGATAATCCAATCAATTGGGAACTCTTTGTTCCAGTTCACATGAAGTGAACAAACCAGAGAACAATGAATGCTTTCTTATCTGACACCAAGAGCCAGATTACAAAACGTGATATTTTAAGCCTGATCATTCCGAGGCTAGTCCAGTTTCCAAAGTGACTGACATAAAAGTGTGCACTTTTGATTAATCTTGTAATCAAAACATTTTAAGACCAAAGTTTTTTGTATTAAGCAGCCCATAGTCTTAATGTAAATGCAGTCCTGTAAGTGGTAGCCAGTGCAAAAATGTAATGCCATCGGGTGTGCCTGGTTCTTTGATGACGGTTTGGCAGGGGAAGGTTGAACGTTGTATTAAACCACAATGGTGACGTGTTTTATGAAGATCTGCCGGCCAATTAGTATGCTGCCAATCCTATTACATTACATTATTACATTATTGTCATTTAGCAGATGCTCTTATCCAGAGCGACTTACATAAGTTACAGTTTTGACATGTTATCCATTTATACAGCTGCATATTTACTGAGGAAAATTTACAGCATATTTACTTGCCCAAGGGTACAACAGCAGCGCCCTAGAATCGAACCAGCAACCTTTCGGTTATGAGCCCTGTGCCTTACCACTATGGTACACTGCTGCCCCCTATGCATAAATTAAGAGTTTGACAGAACATCAAAATATTCAGTCACAGGCTTAAAAGAGTAGAATGGTCATGTTTATGTTCTGAAAATAATGCTGTTATTCAACCCCCCGACATGCACACACACACACACACACACACACACACACACACACACACACACACACAGCTTAATGCAGAAGACTCTATTAATAATGCTATTGTTGTGCTCTTGTTAACTACGTAACCTGTCATTAATCATCAGTGTTTACACCCTGACAGTTTAAATGCCAGGTAATGCCATATACAGTATTTAGTACTGTAGGGGATGTATGTATAGTTAGTTTTATCAAAGTAATCAAGACAGAGGATGTTTACCTGACTACCCTGCTCTCAGACATAGTGATAAACCGAGTGAGTCATTTCATCAGTTGTCTCAGATATGCAGATAGGAAACTTTGAAAAGGGCATGCAGGTGAGCCAACCAGCATGAGGCAAACGAGCCTGTGAGAACTCAGACGTGCTCTTGTCTTCATGTCTTCAGTCAATGATGAAAACATTTTTCTCTCAGACAACATCATTCCTGCTTGAATTTTCACTTTCACAATGATGTTCCCATGCTATCCTGCCTGTTTCTACCCTATACTGTACTCTCCAAAAAACTTCTACACAGAAAAATCACACATAACTTAACACATATTAAGTTCTTTATACAAAAAGGGCTTTCGCATGCACACAAAGTTTCTCTTGAGACTTTGCCATTATAGTTTTATGTAAGTAATGGAGAGTTTCGCATCGCTAAGCCACACTGAAGGATTTAATGCCAGGGAGTGTGTAGAAAAATGAGGCAAATACCTAGTTTGTGATTCATTTATATGCCACGATTGTCTGGGTCGACAGTGGTGAATAATAATGCCTTTAACATCTTATTCTTATTGCATACTTGATCCCCTGCACCTGTTTCATTGTTAACCGATGCATTAATACTAAATGATGATAATTTTTATTCTGGCTGTGATTTTGCTCTGTTTCCACTGGTCCTTTTAGGAACTTTTTTGTTCTTTGTTTCTTCTTTTTAATTTTGACTGTAATTCTCAGCCCCAATGCAAGTGCCTGCTCCCCACAGGCCAAGAACAATGGGCTTAAATGCAGGCAAAAATACAAAGTGCAGTCTGGATATCACACAGCATAATGCATGCCAAGCTATTGAATTCCAGTGTCAGTGTGCTTTCAAGGACACACACGGTACTTAATGTTTTCCTGTTTGGTGTCCACTCCCACCAGAGCAACTCCGGTAGCCAGGGATGCAAGTTGTTCAAATGATTTTGCTTGGGGTTTTTAAGTTGCTGATGCATCGGAGCTTTGTCTCCATCCGCCTGGCCTTGCTGTAGCACAAGCTGTCTTTTCAGGAGTATGCATGGGAGAGTTTCAGTAAAGAATCCAGCCAGAGGAAAGAACTTAACCTGTTTTTTTTTATTATTATTATTTTTACATAAATGTGTAATGGTGGAGTTTTCAGTTTTTGGATGGTAAGGGATTAGTAGTCCAACAATGGTGGACTGACTGAGATTCAGAATGACCAGAAAGGCTCTATTTTGGAGTCATTTGACTGGAATCAGTCTACAGCATAGCTAGCAGCTGGCATTGTCTGCTGAAAATACACTGCTGGGTGTTTTCGGAAAACCACTGTGTTTCTCAGGGCATCAATGAAGAACCAGTGTGAAAAAAATCAAATTAACAGGCGTACTATGGGGCTTGCTTTACCCCTCCCGACCCCCCCAATGAACAAATGTACGTCTGTCTGCATGTGTTTACAAGCCATCATGAAAAAAAAACACAGGCTGTTCCCGCAAAAACTATTTGGTGCCAGTAGACGAGTGCAGAGTCGGGGCATGTCTGTGAGAGAACACCTGGCCTGTTGCGTGATATCACATTATTTAATCTGTTTCCTTCAAAGTCAAAACAGAATGGCGTTGCGTAGGGGAGAATGGTAGGGGGTGGGGGGTAAGGGGGAGGTTTAGATTGGGTTTGGGTGGGGACTGTGTCTCAGTGAGTTCCTTGGATTCCTATGCTTGAAAATAAAGATTATATCACCAGGTAGAAATTTGCCGAGCAGCAACGGCCTCGCCTCAAAGACGTGGAGGCAAACAACCGGGAGCAGGTGGTGGAGTGTTTCCCCCAAAAGGGTCATGAAATATGAACCTGTGGCTGCAAACTTAGTGGAAGGATTTGTTTTGTCCTGTAGTTGGAGTAGAATGACTAACAAATCACAGAATTCTTGAGGTCCCACACTGCAGTGTTAAAGTGTTAAAGCCCAGTGTTAAAGACAACCCAGTATCAACATGTTAAAGTGCTGAAGCCCATGGGCGTCAGTTTGTTTTGAAAAGTGCTGGGGACAACGAGGGGTTCAACTAGCTAAAGGCTTTCAAAAAGTGGTGGGGACGAAATGGGCCACGACAAAAAGTGGTGGGGACATGTCCCCAGCGTCCCCAGCGTAAATGACGCCTGTGCTGAAGCCTCTGAAAAAATACACATTTTTAAAAGCAATAACAGAGAAATAAAACTAAAATGGATCAAATAAAATGATAAATAAAATATAAAGCAATATGTGTAAATGGATTCACGGCAGGGGGGTACTCTTGGGCAGACTGCAGTTTAAATGCTGTTTTCCTCAAGGTGGTCTCGGCTGTTAGCTTTTAACACATGACAGAAGTGAGAAACCAGCTGGAGAGGAAGTAACAGGGCATCACTGGCTCAGAGAAGCAGTAATGGGACCTCTGGTAAAGGCATCATCTTCCCCAGCCATAAAGCTCTGCAATGAATTAATTGATTGGTAAAACTGACATGAACAGGCTCCCGTGTTAATGTTTTTTCCCACATGGTAATCCTATAAAATGGTTCTTCTATAACTGCACTGTATACAGGTGGGGATGTTTTCTGGAAAGCATTTGAAAATTGTAATTGCTCTCCTCAGTCCTAACTGCTTCATGTTAATGTGTTCACATTCATTCCATGAAGGCACCAGAACTGGCAGTCCTTTCTTATATCAGGGAATTGTACATGGGCTGTTTTTGGACACAGTATCGTTCATGCTCATGTGAGCTAGGCTGACGCCCTGATGGTATACCGCATGCCTGACAGCTGTAAGCCATCTCTGTTTTGCTTGAGGGAAGCTCCCAGTATAACAGTTTAAGCTCCGATATAGGCTCAGTGCCTGTCTCCATTTCCTGTGCATCACAGCCTTTCCACATGTGCTGCTTGAATTCCAACCAGACGATGTGTCACATGGGTGTGAAACAAGGGGGCGAGAAATTAGACTGATTAGTTCACGTTGGTTAAATTGTGTTCATCTGCTGCCCTTCAAGATTCAGGACATAGTTTCCATTGTGTGTTCTGGCTCCGTGCAGAAGCTGTCAGTAAGAGCTGATCCACAACCAGTTTTTCTGTTCAGCTTGTAATGGTTAAGATCAGAATTGTAGGTCAGCACTAACACGCAAGTTCTTCCATATGCTGTATCCTGCAGGTGTGTGTGCAGCTGGGCCAGGGTTTGAATGCTTCTGATTTGTTCGGGTAGATATTCTGAGTAGAAGTGGAAGCCCATCCAAATTCTGATTGTTTATGTGAAACTACTTTCAATGCCTTAAGTCCCCAGTTAGTGACCATTTCATTTTCTATGCATATTATTTTACAGTAGCCATGAAAACTGATAAAAATATAGAAAGTACAAAGTATAGAACACACATTTCCTTGTGTGTACAGAGGCAGATTGTCATTCAAATCTGTGAATGTGTTTTTATGGAAATATGCCTTTTTTATTCAAAATGCTGGGTCCCATGAGGCTAAGGTGTGTGGTCTGTGACGCTGTGGTCATTTTATGTTTTTGTTAGGAAGCCTCAGCTTCAGTGTGCCAAGATTGTGTTGACTCTGTCATTCATTGTATTTATGTAGAAGCAGTGGGAGAACAGACGTTAAGCCAGAGAAGGGAATGGGTTCAGGGAGCGCAATTTTAATGGTTACCTTCCAGGAGTGTAAAAACCCCTTCCAGAGCCGTTTCGGCCGCCGCAGGGCAGGCCACGGAAAGCCAGAGCTTTTCTGATTACTGTTACTATGGCAACCAAGGCCCTCTCAGCCTGATTGACGCGTAGTTGTACAATTCATATATAAATAATATTTGTACACTGGTGTGAAAAAAAAAAAAAACAGAAAAGAGAATAACTACACGTGGCTGTATGGCAGCACCTGTGCAGGGAATGGGACAGAAACAGTGGTGCATTGTAGAAGATGTGTTGTTATGACAACAGGATTCACGATGTGCTGCTCACAATCCCAGTCTCACAATGCTGTGAAGCATAGATAGTAATGAAATATAAAGCACGCCCATAAAAATAAATAAATAAATAAATCAATCAATCAATCAATCAATCGATCGATCGATCAATCAATCAATCAGTCAATCAACCATCCAGCCAGCTAGTCAATTAGCGTTTGTTACTCATACCATGTATTTACAGTGTGGTACCATCACACGCTGCTGGATGGAATTCGTTTTCCAGTGGGAATTGGAAAAACCATAACTCGAGGTCAACTGGCCGGTGGTATTTAAATAATGGAGAGTAAGCCTTCTAACTGCCTTTGAGTGGTGGATAGGGATTGGTACTTGAGAGTGGGACCATGTGCTTTTTCCATTATTTAACCCTTTCGTACGTGACTTATTTTATGCTATGTAGCGCGCTTTTTAAGTTACATGGTTTGCTATGTTTTCATTAGCATTTTTAAGGTTCTCATAGTTTTCACTGCCGCATTTGCTATACTTTGTAACGTTAAATCACTGTTTCCTCAAAGCTAGAATTTTTCCTATCTAGTATTCTAATCACAACGGTTTGACCGTACGCACGAAAGGGCCAATCACACTGGTATGACCGTATGCGCGAAAGGGTTAATGTTCCCTCACTGACTTCACTCTGCACTTCGCCTCCTCCCCTGGAATCAAAAGCCAGTCGTTGGTGCCGTGCGTCTTT